TGTAACAATATTTTTTTCTCCATTTATAAGGACTGTTAAAGTGGTTGCTCTTATGCAGACACTGTGCTGCAGAACCTTTGAGTGCAGCATCTTTTAATGGGGGCAGCACCCATGAGAACAGCAATCAGGAGCAGCAATTTCTGTAAACACCTTCAGCACTTAGCTTGCATGTGATTTTAGATTCACTGTAGGATGGCAGAGCTCCAATGGTTTCATTAGTCAGGACTTTGAAACCAGAGCCCATATTTATTTTATTATCTCTGTTTTTTCCACCTTCAATCAGCAAATCATAAACACTTCATAATCACTTCTGCCTTGTGCAATCCATGAGACACACATGACTGTCTCTATTAACATCCATAAATCCAATATCAGCCTGAACTTGAATTCGTTAAACTCACACTTGCATCTAACCCTTGAGCCTTGCACCAATCTTATGGATGTTTAAATAACACTGTGTGTCTTTACTTTTTCTCCAGCTGATAGCAAAAAATTTTGATTTTAGGCATTATGGCAGGTAAGGTGAAAGCAGTAATTCCAGAGAATTTAAAGGTACTAGAGAATATTCCAAAACAATGTTTTTCTTATATTCAGTAAATAATTCAAAATTCTCAATATTGCATAAATATATTTTAATCTCAATTATTGTTATAAGAAAAAGCATATTAACTCAAATTATTGTTGAGATATTATTAAACATTCCTTTAATGCAAAAGATCCTAGGGTCAGATCATTTTTCTTGTTTTATTGCCAACCAGCACAAATCTCCCATAATTTTATTTGCGTATCAATTAAAAGAGCATAAGCAAATAGGCAAGCACTTGCCCTGTCCTCCCTCCTTCCCATCTCAACTTTCATGTTTTTTACCATGGGCTGCACTCTGAGGAGCTGATGGGCAGCACAGGATGGTTTCTGTTGTTTATACATATCAGGTTTCTTGTTGCTCTGTTTTTAATGGGTTTTACTGCTTTATCCCTTAGTGTCTTTAACACAGTGTGAGTCAGCCATGGTCACAGCCTCTTGTGGGGCACTTTCAGCATGGAGTGCCCTCCTAAAAGCGTGTCTCTGGTCTGGTTAAAGATTTGGCCCCTAATGGTTCAGTTTCCTTCACCATTGCTTCATTTGCCTCAGGATGATGCCTACATCCACCTACAAATAGACAACCCACCTGCACACGGTATCACTCTATCTTTGCCTGAAGGGGATGACCATGGATTTTGAAACAACTGTATCTGCCAAACGAACCTTTGGCTGTTGCTAGTAGGAAACAGAGATCAGCAGCTTCCAGACAAGATGTTGCCCTCCATAAGCTTCCTCGGTGCTAGAGATGCAGCAGGAGTTACAGCAGAAGGAAAAATGGTCACAGCTATTGAGGTAGCTTCGGTTCATTAGCCTGGTTTCCCAGGAAACAGCTTATTTAATTGCTTCACGAAGAAGTTGTAAATTTCTGCTAATTTTAAACATTTTCAAAACTGTATATTGAGTCATTATAATAATGGAAAACCTTAGAAAAATATGAATACGCTGTGTTAAGTATTGAGATATTTCTTCATTGTCCAAGCTATGGATCCTTTAATTCTGCTTTGTATTCCTCTGAAACCAGTCCATTATGTTAATATTTCATACCTACATAGCTGGCAGCCATGGTAGCTGTCGGCTGATCTAGATGGAATATTTCCTTCTGCCAAAGTCATATAAGCGATATATTTGGTAGTGAAGTGAAGTCAGACAAGTCATGGAGTGCTTTTGACATGAAAGCCCAGAAGAACAACAAATGTCCAGGGACATTTCATTATGTTAGGTTTCAGGCAGCGGACAATGTTATTTCCTAAATCTTGAGGAAGTTATGTTAGGAAGAATAAATTTGAGAGAAACCTTCTTCTTTATGTCAAGTAGGAAGAACATAGCATACAAAATAAATGGTCCAAAAGACATGTAAGGCAGGAATCTCATGTTCTCTAATACATCTGCCAAAAGCTCCATAAATGTCTCAACAAATCAAACCCAGTTCTGTACATGAAAAGGAAGGCACTGATCAGCATTTTGAACAAATTAGAGGGATATTTATTTTTTTTTTTCTCTAGAGAAGATTACTAAAAGCAGACTGTGGGGACCAAAGCCTTGACTCAATGAAACCTGCTCTTTGGAAAGAGAATTCAGCTGAAATTTATTAGAGGTAAAACTAGTTATTAAATTGCACATGTACTCTTGCTATATATCTTCAGCTTTTAGACCTGATGACTGTTGCTGATGCTGCTCTTTGCTTAGGCTCTAATACATCAGTGTTATGCCTAGGGGCTGTTTTGACAATGAGGAAAAGAGATGACTTCTAAAAATTGAGAAAGTTGCTTATTCTGCTCAGGAGAAGGTAAAACACAGGAAGCCTAGCCACCTCTGCATTCTCTCCAGTTTTAATCATCCAGAACTCAATAGCATTTAGAGCTTATTTCTCATTTTAAAAGGGATCCAAATAGTAATCTCAAACCTACAATATTAACTGTTCCCATCTTGTTTAAAAGACCGTGTGGCCTGTTACGATTGCATCCAACAAGGACAGTAGGAAGTTTGTGTTACATGGTCCTGTGCTTGCACATAACAGCAGGAAGTAAGACTCTCAACCTTCTTTCTGGGATGCACCTTCAAATATCCTTCCCTAATTGTATTATTTTTCCACTACATACATTCAGACATAGGAAATACTTTCCATGAACATTCTTTAAAACATTTTAAGAATTCTCTGTTTTGCTGGTTATCAACATTTCTGAAGAGACCCTAGCACTGTGAAAAGAGTTGAAATAAGATTGCTACTATACATTATTAACCTGCTTATGCATGGAATGTGTACTGTGGACTGGAATTTAAAGAGATCACACAGAAGTGATTTGTGGAAGTAAGGTCTTCCATCTAAGCAAGTCATCTAGTTTCCACTTCACCAAAATTCCTATTTCACCTGACTTTACAAGTCTATAATGTAGCTTTCTCACCTGTGTAGAACACCATAACCTTCCAGTGTACTTATATGGAAAGAAATATTCATTCTCCTTACTTGTGTCTCTACTTTAGTGTTTGACAAATCACCTGAAGAAACATCCATTTATCCTTTTTGTCTACATAGAAAGCCCGGTGGAGAAGTAGACATGTATATATAACAACAAGATTTGCATAAGGAAAGATGAATCCAGCTTCTAAGCTCCCCCCAGGTTCAGTGATGAGAATTGCATGCATCCAGAAGGTGATTAATGTGGATATATACTTTTCCATAGTACAGTGTATTCTCTTAAGTGTCTTTCTCCATTACATAAACAAACATGTAAAAGTGTAGATGAAAACGTAGGGTTAAAGTTAGATGAGATGAAAACCACTTATGCAGTTATTTTCTAGTTCTTCTGGAACACATCTTCATCATATTCACAAGTGTGATGAACTTAAATATATTGTCCGTTTGCTGCCATATCAGTTTTGAAATCCTTGTCTCAAAGTAACAGCAGAAGAAGCAATCCTTTTTCTAGATGGTGATGCAGTGTAAACCAGGAAAGACTAGAGTTTGACTTGGTTGTGTATATATGGCATGACTCCAAGTACAGACTCAAGGTAAATTTGCACAGAAGAAGAATTCTCCCAGCACACTGAATTATGACTTAGAGAGTCCTAATAGATTACAAATCATACCTCTAAGTCATGGTAGATTTTCTTGTTTAGAGATAGTATTCATGCCATATTTTTCCTTTTCCTATGAAGTTTAAGAGCGGCTACCACTGTAAAATCCACAAATCTTGAGAATAAGAGCACTTTCTTTCACTCCCTTCCATCACAACCAGTAAGAAAGATCATGCAGACCAATTTTAGTTCTTGATGACAGCTGTGAAATCTTACTGAATGCTCAGAGGTGTAACTATGGAAATCATTTGGCTTGTAGGATCTTATTTTTTATTTTTAAACTTTTTTACACCTCCGTCTGAAATTGCCATCTCCTGGCTCCTGTTAGGCAGAGGATATGAAATTTTTCTAACCTATCATTTCATATCAGTAGAAATGATGATTGATAAGAAAACAGCACGCTGTCCATTAGAACCAAACTGAATTTGCAAGGATGCTAGTGAGATTATATAGTTATGTGTCCACATGTGCTCAGAGAAATATATATACATTTGAAATATATATACATATGCAACATGAATCAATGAACTTAAGGTTTTTGTGCAATTTAAATTAAAGCTCAGGATGAGATACATTTTATGTAGAAGAATGCTACTGCACCCAGCGTGGTAGACAAGGTGGATGCATTTATACAGGGAAATTAAAAGGGTCAACATTAAAAGCTAGGCAATTGACTGGTGATCTTTTCACCCCTTTGTTAACCTGCTCTCTCACACTCGTTTGCTTTGTGGAAATTAGCACTCTGCCAAATAGTGCCCAATGGATAATACATGACAGACCTCATTCCCAAAGGACAATTGGACACAGCTACTCTTCTTTGGGAGGACAGAGGCAGGAGCTTTGTGAACACACGATTGGCCATTCAACACAGTCTCACATCTACAGAGTTGACTCTGTCATGTGTTATTTAGTAATATGGATGTATCCAGATGGAGTCAGGCTGTGACACTTGGCAGCAGCAGAAGCCAGAGGCAATAGGACTGAAGTTTGAAGCAGAAGTAGCATTTCTGCAAAGATCTCTGCTAACACCAGGCAGCAGATTCATTTTTATATCAGAATCATAGAATCATGGATTCATAGAATGTTCTGGGTTGGAAGAGACCTAAAAGATCATTTACTTCCAACCCGTCTGCCATGGGCAGGGACACCTTCCACTAGACCAGATTGCTAAGAGCCCCATTCAACCTGACCTTAAACACAGAACATCCACAGTTTCTGTTCCAGTGCTTCACCACCCTCAAAATAAAGAATTTTTTCCTGATATCAAATCTAAACCTACTCTCTTTCCGCTTTCTTTGTCACTACAGGCTCTGGTAAACAGCTTCTCTCCATGTTTCTTGTAGGCTCCCTTCAGGTACTGGAAAGCCACAATTAGTTCCCCTGAAGCAAACTTGCTAGCCCCATTTAGCACTGTTTCTCTTCAGCAAGCATTGAGAAGAGGGCAAAAGAGGCTATAACTCAGTTGTTCTTTCCACCTGGGACCATTTACAACTGAGACTTTGAGTCACAGGTAAAGATTTTCTCAGTACTAGTATATCAAAGACTTCAACCATGACAGTGTGCAGAAAATCAAAATACAAGTCGCTAAGCTCAGGATTTTTTGACAATAATATTTACTTGTAAAGTGTTTCAGGTTTGTATTTACATTACAAGTTTCCATTCTGTCTTTGATGCACAGTAAGGCAGAAGGGATATAGGAGATTTAGGAACAAAAAGGTGATGAAGAGGACATTGATCCTAATGAACTTTTACTCTTAAAGAAGCATAGAGGGCTTAAATATGTACTTTTATTTGGGGGGGGGGGGGAAGAAGTTTTTAAGAGAGTGAATATTAAAAAACAACATTTATAAACTGTTAAAATAAGTACAGGATGTTTTCTTCCCAACCTAATTTTCTGCAACACCACGAGCTCAGTTGCTAAGTAATTAACAGAGCCAAAGAAAGAGAGAAAAAAAGAGAATCCTTTTTCTAAATTGTCTTTAAGTAGCACATATGGATATTAGATGGCAGCAGATCCGGTTATAATTGTTATTCTAGTATAATGTAACTCACACAGAAGGGAGCACCATGTAACTGTTATACAGTGAATTTGGATCTGAATGGCTTTATCTCACAATGCACATCTCCATTTATCCTGGTCTTTGTCTAAGATTCACATTGTTCTAATGTCCATGTTGTCGTGGTATTTAGACTTGACCTCTAGTTTGCCCTGAGAACTCCCGAGTACCAGCTTTCCTAATCAGGTCAACGGAGTACCTCCTCAGGTCAGTGGGATTCACCTCACTGCTTTGTCTACAGTTACAGGACAATTCAGTGATGAACTCAGGGATGAAATTCAGCCACTTCTTTCTCATTAGGATACTCTGAGCAGTTTCTTCTAAAAAACTGCTTTAATTTGTAAGCAGAGACAACATAGAAGCAAATAGCTAGTCTTTGTGGCTGTCTGCATTCAGAGATGTAACAAAAAAAATATCCTGATAGAAAACCAGCATTTAATATTTCAAATGAATGAGATATACTCTTCAGTATAAAAAAGATATTTAGATTTCAGCCTTATTCAAGTCCTTCATTGAAAGGTACCCATCCATCCTACTGTAAAATTGAGTAAGTCATTTATTATTACTGTAGTGAAACTGTTGGATCTTTAATTTCATCAGAATTACTAGGTTGCAGATATCTGACTACTTAATGACCTTGTATTTACTGAGAAAAGAAGTCCGCTGCTGAAATGACAGAGATGTAATGGCATGAATTCATTGTGGATAACAGAGCTATAGAAGAGCTTACCATATAATGTATGACTCAGATCTGACTACTTTTTGACATTCAACAGTAACACTACTAAACTATCACTTAAATAGATATCAACAGTTAATCACAAGTGACATAATGTTTATAAGGGGGAAAAAATTTCACTTCTCTGTGTGTTTTGCCTCAACACTGTGCAGGAAATAAGGAACAAAAAATGAGTGCCAGTTAAATAGCACCATTCTGCCTCATTCAAAATAAGTAGAGAGACATCAGGCAGTGCTAAAGCATAGTGGTAAAAAAAAGGCAAATGCGAAGGCGAAGGAGAAGGCGAAGGAGAAGGAGGAGTGGAACTGAATTTGTAATCGGAGTACCTTCCTTCTCCAGCCTCATATACACCCTTAAGTAGTTTAAACTAATAGCATTTTAAGAATTGGTTAATTTGTTAAATATCAAATATTTTTAAATTTTCTCTCTTTTAGGACCAGATGACTTCCAAAATGTAGGCTGTGCCAAGCCACTCATATCCTGGAAGTTTCTTTATATACAATAAAGCCTATGCAACACAAATGTGGAAAATCAGAATGGTATGCTTTACTGATCACTCCTCAATTTTCTTTTGAGACAAATAAAAGTTCTATGTTCATTTATGCTTGTATAGATCTTCCTCTTTAAGGGAAAAGCACATGAAAATTCAGTGCCGTAATGCTCCTCGTGTTCTAGGTAAATGTCTTTAAACACTGAGTGATGGGAAACAGATATTTTAAAAGATGCTCAGGGGAGCCATGGAAGTCTGTGGGTAATCCAGGAAGTAAATTCAGATCTACACACATTATATTTTGTTTGAAAGACCATCTATTTATGTCCATTTCTACTGCCCTACTCATCCATTTTACTCTTCCTTTCAGAAGAAGCTGAAAAAAAAGAGTAAAACCTAAGGCATGAAATTAACAGCCCTGTTGCCCAATCTGTCAACCATACTTCAGCAACCGGCCATGAACATCAACAGTTATGATCCAGGAGCCTGATCCAGAAGCAATTAGTCATAAACCCCGTTAGTCTCAAGAGAAATCTGACATAGAAAGATTAAAAAAAAAAAAAAGATATCTAGCTACTGACTTTAGCACTAGCCCAGGCAAGAAAAATGCCTAGTATTTCTAGTATTTCCAGTTGTAAAGACAGCCAGTGGTACAGACAGTACTTTTAAATACAGATACATGTGAAAAGGAGATACTTATATTTTGTTTGAGAAAAGGAGTGAAGGAGCAAAGATAAGTTTTGAGAACCAAACAAGGGAATAAAGGAAACGTAGTGGGTGCAAGCAATATTAATTTGCAAAGTTCAGGTTTTATACCTAAGGTTGAGAAAATAAGGTAAAATTCAGTAAAGAATGGGTCAGATGTTCAGGGGTCATACGCTATTTTTTTTCAGTATGAAATCCACAAATTAGACCGTATGAGCAATTATTAAGGGTACCAATCTGGAAGCTGCAAGATGCAGAAACACTTTTCCAACCCAAAAAGAAAATTTATTGAAGTGAGTCACTGCAACCTGTTTCATCTGTGGGCAAATGTTGATGTTTTAATGGCAACCCCTTCGAAAAGAAAAGGAAGGGACTTATAAACCAAGTAATATATGAGTATTTAGATTACTGCAGAAGTAATCTAAAGCACCAAATATGTTTTCTCTACATTATGCAGTGTGTTTTGATTTACAAATTCTTTTTGCTGACTTCAGTAACTTGTGTCCAGTGTAAGTAATTACAATAGGTTCTCTTATGCCACTGATGCATGGATATTCTGTCAACTGCATGGTTATTCTGTCTGTATGCTTTGAGCTTACTATATTTCAATTTTTTAAATGCAACTTGTTGAAAACATATGGTTTGTTGTCTCAGGGAAAGATTCCCAGTACTCATTTGAAACCATCTTTGAAAACACTATCAAGTATTACTTCTCTTGATACCGTGGGACATATTTGTAGGTGTAAATTCTGGGCCTGCCTGCTGCCTGTTGATAAGCTAGATACCACATATACTTTGTGACTATGTCAGTATTTGCCACAAGCAAAATGATGTTCATCCTCTGGTTCTTATGGGTTGTAATGTGAAGTGAGAGCAGAGATAACACAGGAAGGCATTGTACAGCGTTAAGGTCATGGAGTCTGAATAAATATTAGCTCAGGCCCACTGGAATTTCATTTAATGTTTTTCTAATCTCTTTCCTTTCTTTTGGGATTTCAGATGTTCATACACATGTGAATTATGAAATGTCAGCTGAAAACAGAGCTTACATTCTTAAACGTTACAGATGCAGAATGACAAACTAGAAATATAAGAGAACATTAGAAGGTGTAAATTACCAAGTGTAAATTTTATCAATTTATTATGAGGCATCATACTTAATGATACATATCTGCTGATACCAAGAGACATCTTGAACAACTTTGCCTTCCTCTCTGAAGTCCCCTGGAGAGCAGCCTTTTTCAGCAGAAGGTCAGGAAGGAAAGTACGGCCTTTAGCTTCCTGCTAATTTTAAATAAAGTGGAAATGGCATCTGCCCAGAATATGAAGTACGCTCCGAAAGATGTTCTTAGCAAAGTAAAGGGGTGAGTCTAGCTTCTTCTTCAGCCACGTAAGGGAAATACTCAAAAAAAATAGAAAAATGTTCAGCTGAGAAGGAAGTAGAAGATCACATAACCTCACTGCTCCTCCAGGACTGCTCATTTGGAGAGTACATTGAGAGTAATAAGGACCATGTACAGACAAGAGGAGTGTCAATCTTCCATTGCTTCTTTCCCACCATTCTCAGTAAGTATTGCTCAGGGATGGAAAGTGCCTCAGCCTTGGCCCTCAGCAAAAATAAAATCCTTCCTCTTTCCAGGAAAAATAAAAACCCAAAGTAACAACCTGAACATTTTCAGCTCCCCTCTACATGACAAATTTCCACAAGTGTGATGCAGTATGGGGCAGAAGGAGTTCTAGCAGCTTGTCAAGATTTCTAAGGAGGAGGAAGGGAGAGTCTGTGCATCAGATGGGAACTGTGATAAATATATGTAACTGAAAAAAGGGTAGAAGGAGGGAATGAGACAAATCTCCTTAAGAGCACAAGACATTGAATTTTCAGCTTCTGCTGCACTTTTCTACTGCTGACACAGATGATCTTTCCTTTCCTGTGATATGGTGACATTTCTCTGCCTTAATCATAACCTCCTCTGCAACTGTAGACTCTCAAGTATAAGCAGATTGAGGCTCCAGAGTCCAAAAGGGGAAATATTTAAAAGTGAGGCTTTGTATGCAATTTTACATATAACTTTATTTCTGTGGGCAGTATTGTTAAAATTTAGATAGCACTGCCCAGAATTTGGTAGTCATTGTGTGCCAAAAGCCCTCTGTATTGCAACTACATCAAATTTCAATTTTACACTGAAGATCATGGGTTGTTTGCAGAAAAAGACTGAACTGGTAATAAGAAACTATTCACTTTATTTACAAATCCATAAATATGTGATCTTTTCTCCCTTCCAACTGTATTTCAAATAGCAAGATGGAATAACAGTATACCCTTGGAACCTTTCTTCACTCAAGTACATGTAATCATTACTGTCAGCCCATCAAGCTCCAGGTGAACATAGATTCTATATAAACTATTTCAAGTCACATTTGATTAGACCCTTTTCTGTATGAGTTTGACGCGGTTTATTATTTCTTATCACTGCTTCTGTGGTGGACTTCCCTAGAATAACTTCTGTACCATAACTGACAAACGAAATCTGACTGCACTACAGTGAATGTAATGCTGAAAGTCCCCTGCTAAATATGGTAAATGAAAAGTGTATCCTGTCAAATGCTCTTAATTGAACAGAAACTTTATTTGGAGTAATATCAAGCAAAAACATGTAACACTTACCAGTCAGGAGAAGGTAGAAAGTAACCCGTATTCCAGGTGGAGGTGGCAGAGAATCTGTGGCAAGACAAAGGAATGTGGTAACAGAAAAGAACACAGCCACTAATAAATAAGGAGAAATGCTTATGGATTTCACCAGCTTTATGGTACAGAATGCAATTAAAAGAAAAAATTAATTATAAAAAAATAAAACCAGTAATAAAACCATGGCTGAAACTTTTAAAAGTTTATTTAAGAACACAAATAATCACAATGATTATGAGACACAGACAGAAGCTTTAGGTGCCTTTATGTGCTTTCTCTGTTGTGAAGACTTTTTGGAAAACTAATACCATGACAGATTTTGCCTATTTCAGTGGTTTTCTTGCTATCTTTCCCTCTCCTCTCAAAATACATACATATAGAGAGGTAAAACACTGCCTATAATGCATGACTGAGGCACTTCTTCTCAGCAGTGAACATCTTTGTATCTTCTCTTTCAGACTGTAAAATGAAAAAAAAACACGTGTATTTTTATTCCATTTATCTCCTTCAGTGGTCAGTTCTGAATTAAAATAATCTTAATGTGTCCATCAATAGAAAAGTCAAAGGCAGATTCTGCTGGCATGTGATCAAACACTGCTTCTTCTCAGTGCCTCACAGGGAGTTGTTTATCATAGTTTTTAAAAGTTCTTCCTGTTTCTGCTCATTTGCCAAAATTTCAATAAAATGCTGTTTTAAACCTGTAAGACAACTTCAGTTAGTGTGGAAAATAATACAAGAAAAATGAAGACTCAGTGCTCTTCTCTGAGCCACATACAGGAGCCAGGAGATGAAGTTCAAGGTCTGACTTACTCCACAAGCTCCCACAAGTTATGCAAATTTCTTGCCCTTGGAACCCTTTCAAGTCGGTATTTCTAGGTGACAGCATAATAAACAGGTCTGTGCCTCATTACTCTGCACTGGTAAGCCTCTGCATTTGATAGGCTTCTTCAAAAATTTGGCATTCAGAATTCCACCCTTGTATATGCTGTTCTGGTCACACTACCAAGAGCTAACAAAAAGGACTGTCAACTAGACCAAGGGTGAATTCTGTAGTACCTTCCATCTCTGGGAGGATTTCACATGAATATATCCAGAATATTTGAAATTAGTAGTTGTCAGGATTGCCCAGCAGATTTGCAAATGTGCCTGGAAGCAGTGCCTTGTGCTTATTACTGTTAGGCACTCTTGTCTTGAAAACTCAAATTTCATAAACCTCTTTCCAGAGAGCTCGTGTCTGAGCCTGTAATAATACATGACATGTCTCCTCAGGGATGCTGAATAACTCACCACCAAACAGAGAGTGATCAGTCTTTCAGCCACAAGGATCTGACCAATGAGCCTGGAAGAACAGCAGTGAGGCTTTATTTCAACCTGTCAATAAGCCATTCCACTATTCATAAGCTAAACCTTTTTGAAACAATTTATGGGACCGGGCAACAAAAGGAGGATCAGGTATGAAGAACAGACTGTCAGGGAGGGGCAAGGGCCAGCTTGTCCCTAAGGGACAGGGAGCCAGAAGCCAAGCACAAGACAAGGCCTGGGGACTTACGGTTGGAATCAGCCTGGTGCCCAGATCATCAGCTAAGTCCCTAGTGGTGTTGCAGGTCTGAAGGCAAGTCATGAAGTCATGCCTAAAGGTGA